ACTAGTGCAGATGTCTAGTGTAGATGTCTATGGTTCTTGTTTCAGACTGACCCTTTTTTTTGGTACCCAACCTAAAAAAAGCCTTTTTTTTCTACCGACCTTCTAAGAGGATCTTTCTTACCTACATGTTCAAAAAAATAAGACGTAAGAATCTGTACAAAAAAAACACTGCAAATGTAGGGCCTACGGGTACCGGTACATATACGATACACATATGTACGATACGCTTTCTCCCAAACATTAGCCTTGACTCAAGGTGCACGTGGCTACCTGGACACACAACACACACCTGGCTGCTAGCACGACGAAGAGTACCACCAGCATGAGTGGTGAAGCGGGTGTGCGTTGTGTTTCCAGATAGCCAGGCACGCCTTGAATAAAGGCTACCCAAACATCCTGAAATCCATAGTACAGCATCAATCAGACCTAGTGGTACCGTACCGCACCCAAAGCATGTACATGTACAGAGCACCCGTCATATGATAGCAGCATCGTGCTGCGGCGGCATTCATTCCAAACAGACTTGTCATTCTCAAGCGTGGTATTTTTTTCTGGCAATCGATACGGGTAAAAAACATACATGTCCCATTTAATGTGACACCAAAAGATTCTACTGTTGTTCTTATGAAATAAATTTTTGTATGAAAAAGATTCATATTGAAAATAGAGAAAGGCACACAACCCCCCCTCCCCCCAGTGCCCACACTGGCCTACAGACTCATTAGAACACAGAAGATAAATCAATTTTTACCGCCGGGCTTCATTCATGTCATGGCGACCTCCACTGCTGTCACGTTTGTTATGTTTGTCATATATTTTTCTTTTTATGTTTATATTTAAACTGTTTTTATAAATGCATTTATTTAGTTCAAGAGGAGTCCTACCTTTTGTTTCACATTTTATTCATTTTTTTGTTTTATTTAAAACTTATGAGACTACATGTTCATTTGTGATCAATTTGATTGAAGACTTGTTCTTGGAAATTCAAGTATTGTGTTGTGTACCAATAAAAATATTTCTCTGTATGCAGCTGGAAATAGACACTCATGGTACCGTGGTTTATTTACTCATCTACATGTACGTGTATGGCGGCATAGAAATATGCCCTTTAAATGGGGCCAAACACTCATGTGTGGGTCTTAATGTGATCTTTGGCAAGTTACGATACACTGTTGTCCAGAAAGGAATGCCCATACATGTAAATGTGTACCACCTTCATAAGGGTAATTCCAGAAATTAAGGATCCATTTTTTTTTTCGTGTCCGTGTCACATCTGACATATGATTTTGTAGGTTCAGAACACATTTTCTAATTTCCAAGAGTGATGAATTTATGCAAATTACCGGTACCTGCCAAACAAATAATAATAGTTTGAAATAAATTCCGGTGATATTTTCATGTCAAATAACAAAGGTCAGATGTAACAGGGACACAAATATGTCACACTTTTGGACCACTAATTTTATGGTGTCTAATTCTGATCATTGGACTAGTAGTACATGAAAGACCAGACCTTTCTGCAGCTCTGCATTGTGAAGTCATGGTACAATGTGGTTTCTCTTGCAAATTCGGGACCATTTCAGTGCATGTACCAGAAGTACCATCCTAAAATCCAGCAGTGACAACCAAAGATTTTGAGTCTTATTTGGTTTGGCTTACTTCTTAAATTAAAAGAAGCACAACCAAATCAGAAATTACCCACATTACCCATTTTCCGGGGTTGACTGCCTGTACACTGTGGACTAAATTTTACCCTGTAATGACATAAGCTACATGTACACTTTGTCATGCAGTGTTCAGCCATGATAATGCCTTCAGCAAGTGCTTCAGTCAACTTGAACTAAGAGCATTTGTGCTTGCTACAGTACATTTTTTTCCAGCGTGCATACTGTGCCAGCATCCGCAATGTACATAAATTTACCAGTCCGTGTACGTACATGTGTACAGAAAATGAAAGTGTTAATTTTCTTTAAATAAAAAAAAAAGAAAAGAAGAGAAAAGCCATTCCAGGTTGAAAAGGTTGATTATGGTAATATCTGTGACTTTTGTGTCTGAAAACATTTGTATAGAACCATGCCTCTTTGAAAATCTCTTCCCTTCCAAATGCACATTCAGTGCAGACATTGCACATATACATGTACATGTACGTACATTGTGTTGACCGATTGAACTGCTTCAAGTCCAGACTGTATTTTGAAAGGGAGGGGGGTGCAGATGAAACATTTGGGGGCTCCATGCACTGTAGAACGTATTTAGAAACCTGTACCATGCTACAGTACATAGGTGTACCGGTATATGTACATAGAAATATATTTTGAATGCTGTGTTTTGTCTTTTCTTCCATCTGCTTGTACTGGTACATGTACCCCTTCTATTGCATCTTCTTATCATTTTGATGAGAAATGTAGCCATCTGTTTGAGTGGATTCCAAAAATTCCATTTTTATGCTCCTAATGTACAGTGTACAGCTGTCTTGAGTGTGAATGTACATGTAATGCTTATCATTTGATTTTGAGTGATGACCTTTTTACATTCACATGAGGATACATACCAGGTACACTGTTACCTGCTGTTATCCTTGCCTATTTTTTGTTCTTGTCCCAGTTGTCTATCTCTAACATTCTCAGTATAAAGGCAGGTTTGGATTACTTGCCTCTTAAAGCCCACACAGTTACACGATACCCTAGTGTGAAGTACACCCATGTATTCGGCTTGCATCATGAGTCATCATTTCCATGCCCAGTATCAATTGGCTGTGCATTGATGCTGATAAGGTTGCGGACATGGATGTGGCTTTCTGTGAGTTGTGTCTTGAGCCATCATCACAGCCCAATATTTGCACACTTGATTTGCCTGGGGCAGAGTTTTCAGGTCTGTTTCTTGGGATCAATGGAGGGATGTCAATTTGTCACTAATCGGTTGCTCTCATTTCACACCAAGCTGCACACTTTAGCATTTATGAGGAACTGCATTATTGCTTGGAGTGGGCAATCAAGGATAATGCACAAATATGGACAAGCAGATTTTTAAAACTGATCTACGTGTACGTGTTAAATTGTGTCTACATGTTTGTTAGAGATTGTAGTGTGACACGTTGACTAGATGCTTCAGATTGTTTTAAATGATGATGGAAATTGTGATAAATGAGAGGAATTACATGTACATGTATGACCAATCAGTTTGAACCAAAATGAATTAATAGAATCAAAATGTGAGCTCAATGAAACTACTAGTAATTGGTAAAGTGCAATCTCCTCAAATTCAAGTTAACAAGATTTTTGTTTCCTGACTGTTCTGAATTCTTTTTTGTTATTGTTATTATATGATAATGTGCTGGCAGTCAGCGTGTACAATAAATGTACAATAAATGTATGGCAGTCAGCATGACAAAGTTCACAGCACTCGGAGCAAAATTCACAAGACAGTGCTGCTGAATAGTACAGTAAAACTGTACATGTGAGCACCATGGTTTAAGGTGTTTTTGCACAGATGTACCAACATAAGTTTGATCAAATGTTCCTGTGTCATTTCTTTTTTTTTTATGAGATGAAAAATGAAAGGGGTATCTGGTCACTTTTTTCCCTTGGACCTAAATGTACATATTTATGAACATTATCTACTCATTCACTGCATTTATCTTGAACTGAAGTCACTGAACTTTATTGACATCAAACCTTTACGTTCATGAACAGTTGACATGTACAATGTACATGTGCATGCATGTACAGCATGAATGATGTGTGCCAGAGTGCATACGTGTACTCACTGTCATTATACATGTGCATGTACATTGTATGTATTGTATGTCTCTGTGTGATTGAGATATTTCAATTATGTATGTGATTGATGATGCATGTACCAAAATAGTAACAAATGACAAAACAAAAACAAACACAAAACATAAAAAAGAAAAAAAACTGTGCAATGATTTACATGTAGTGTTCATTGATGGTGTACATGTACCGGTACATGGTAATCTGTTTTGGGTGTTGGCCATTGAAAATACCTGGAAGCATGGCTGCTCTGCAAATGGACACCAGGTGTTAAGAGAAAACTGACTCTTCTGTCACAGGCTTCTGTATCTGATTAAATGCTACAATGTGCTGGCTGGTTGCAATCTACCAGGAATGGTTGAAAGAAAAATCAACACTGAATATCAGAAATTACATATGGATCAAATTGTATAACTGAAGTGCCACATGCTTCCATTGAGACAAGCTTAAACAAGTACAGTACATGAACCGGTAAGTAAAGAACTGATTTAGAGAAAATTTTATAAAATTGCTTCATGAAGATCTATATCTTATGTAGTACTGTCTTTCCTTCATGTGTGGATATGTATTTTATGCCTATAAAGCCAGTTTAGATACATGTATAAAGTGTACATACACCGAGTGCTACATGTCTGATGTCAGTGTTATTCATGTAGTTGAGTCCACCGCTTACAAGTCTGAGTCCTCTTGGTTCAAGTCTCGGTCTGAAAAATCAGCATCTGAGTCCGTAAAAATTTGAGTCTGGGTCCTCTAATAAACCAAATGTACATGAACATTCAACAAACTTGGCACAAAACCTGAATGGAAATGCATTAGGTACATGTACAAACTGTGGAGAAATTTGGTCCAATGAATATGATCAGTAATAAAAAATCTCAACCAAAAATGGACTAGTATAATTGCTAGGTATTTTGTAGTGCCACAGTTGTATACATTT